GACTGGAACACACTTTAAAATATAGTAATTGAAATTAAAATTTTCAGTCATTTAAATTAATATTTCATAATAATTGAATGTAATGTAACAGTACAAATTGCATATTCTAATGAATAATCATTGAATTATAAAATAAACAATAAAGTTGAAGTTGATACTGTATTTCTATTCGTTGGTATTGTCTACAATTTAACAAATGTTTATAAATATATTTATTTCTCTATGATGATAATTAAATTTACTTTATATGCATAAGTTCCTAAATAAAGGATATTATCAACTCTTGCAAACAATTTTGAAAACACACTATTTTAAAATTATAAAAAGAATTCTGTGGCTCATACTCAAAGGAACATAGTTTACAGTGCGTAGATAGCCCAATCTATACCGTGACCTTGGAACTGCAGATCCAAAATGGCGGCTCCGTAGGAAACATTGGTGTCCCGACCTTGCGTTTATAGACCTTATTTGAAATCTTGTACGACAGCGCCGTCTCACGTAGAGTCGGACTTGATTTTTACTTCTCGGCGTTGTTTTTTTAACTAATCCCTACCCTCGAAAATTTTACCATTGTATAATTAAAATGTAACTTTTCATAACAAAATTTCATAAGAGATGGCGGCACACGCAACTTTTTTATTATTAATCTTAATTTCTTTAGTTTCATAACAGCCGGGAAACTTATGCAACTGTTGCTAATTTGGTTGCAACTTTTAAATTCATTAAACAACAATTATTCTTGTGTAATTTTTTTTATTTCTGTATATTCATGTAGTGTGCTTTACAAACTTAAGTGTCTTCGGTTTCCGTAAAGTTTAAGCATGTCCCTTATATAAAATGCAAGAGTTAGTTAATACCGCCTAAACTGGTTTCTTTCATTTTATAAGGCTGATTGCCATTATTGGGCGTTCTCTTAGGACGTTAATCCTCTCCATGGGCATGGCAGAATATTTTCCAGGGGGGCAAGCTTGGAGAAAATACTTAAAACTTTACTGATGAATTTAATTATCAAAGGCCCCAAAATTAATTATAGGACTAGAAGCGTCCCACTTTAGGGGGGTAATATTACGTATGTCAATCGTTTTCACGATCATCTGTAAAATTTTTTTACTCCACCCCGAATGGAAGTACCACATTTGCCCCCCGTCAAGGACGCATGTGATTTAACTCGAGTTTTAAGTATCACGGAAGATAATTCTGGCAAGGGTAATCCTCCAGTACCGCGTCATAGTTAGCCATTCTGTTGTACCATTGTTCAAATGTTAAGGTGTTCGAGTACTATACTGTACATTGCAGGTTCATTGTAATTCAACACTAGATATTGTAATTTCCGTATATATGCAGGGCAAGACAGGATAAAAATACTGCTTGCAAACGTTCATTATTTGTGTAGCAACATGAAGAGTCACGTACAGTATTGTATTTTTACTTTCCCGGCTGTTATATATATGAAGGAAAGTATGGCGATTGGTCAATGATCCCCCAAGACTTTTTAACTTTTGGACTTTGGACACCTTCAAACGTCGAGAAATGCGAAAGATTCGGGGGCGTTTTCTGTATAGACGTTAGCGTAGTGGGCAGGATTTTGTTCGCCCCGAAGCTTAACTCAACTGCTTTTTGTCGAAAATTTCAGAAATTTTGCAGGGCAGTTTATGTATTAGGGGGATTCATACTATTAAATTTTGGTGGTTAAAGGTCGAAGGGTGGGAAGATAGAGAGGTCGTGTCGTATCTCCAATAGGGTCAGACTTAATGACGATTTTATCATTAGCATTTATAATATTTTTATAATACTCATCTCTATGATCAAAATTAATTAAGGTTTTTGCCATTTTGTAATAGTTAAAAAATATAAAAAGTTTTTTTTTAACTCTTCCCAATCTGTGGGAACTAATAGGGTCCCTTTTAACAAGCTCATTATGGATTCGGCCAGGCCCACAATGGGGCGGCTGGGTGGTAACTACAGTGGCTAGAAAATATAGTGTCGAAAGCGCTTATATTCCTCCATTATAACCGTTCGGTCCATACATCGAGGTTAGTGACGTCACAGATAAGGTGGCGCTGATGTCAATCGTAGTGCTACTTTCGCTTTTGCTACGTGATATCCTTTCTTACAAGAACATCGAAAGCGATTAAATTTGTGCTCGTAAAGTGAATAAATCCTTAGGAAATGGCTGAACAGAAACTTTACTGACTTGTGTATTTCTAATTTATAGATATTACTCTACTGTAATTTTTAATTCTTTTATTTTTGTCGAAAAGGGTGAGAAATCTACATGCATATTAATCTGTAATTTTTTAAGAGAGATTTTTCAAATATAAAGTGTATATGCATGGGTACTTGGCAGTAGACTAATAATCGTTTATTTGTACATACTTAATTTTGTAATTTTATATTGGGACAATAAAGTAACATTCTGCCTTTATATTTTATATACTGTGTAGAATTTAATTGTAATTTTAATATTGCTTTATACTATGTCACATAATACTGTGAACAGTATACAGTATTATGTAACTGATGGCATTTGCTTAATAAATTCTATTTTAGGCCCTCACAGTGGAAGAGGTTCACAAAGCCATATAAAACTTACATTTTATTATTAAAAATATGATAAATTCTGTATTTTTTTAGTAAATATGAATAAACCTTGTTGTTAATAAGGTAATAACAAGAGTAGATTACTCTTGTACTCTAAATAATACTTGTTTGTACAGCACTCAACAGCTGTAATGTAAAAATAGACAATACAGTGTAGGCTATTTGATTTAATAAGAATCTTAATTAGCTTTAATAAAATGAATTCCTTCATAAATGTTAATAAAGTAATACTATATAATAATTGATTGCTAGTGATATGATTTATTATCGATCTAAATTCTTTTACTTGGCTACAGCACATTTACTATGCTTAAAAATCCCACTTAAAACCAATATAAACATAGGATGATACAGCCAGTGTAGCAGCGCCTCTTGCGGCAACCTCCAATATAGGGACAGAAAATAAGCTTGATTTCGACACTATATTTTCTAGCCACTGTAGTGGTAACGGACAGGACCAACATATCCAACCACCCCCGAAATATTCCTGGGGATTTTTCGGGGGGTTGTCGGTTATGTCGATCTGGGGACCCGTCTGGATTCGATCCTGTATGATTTCTGGGGGACCTATCCAGACTCAATCCCGGGTCCCCCAGAGCAGTATTCTGCCACCTTGACAGATTTTTCCAGGCACATCAGGCTTTTTTGACCAGGTCTGTTGTGGAGCGGCAGGATATGCAGTATGGAACCCCACATATCGGGGGCAGATTACCCTCGAAAAATTCCTGGGGTCTTTGCCCATGGCAACACTTCATCGCCTTGGCCATCTGGCCAGGGCCAGCACCTGTTAACTTCATTTAAATTAGTAGAGTTTATAATGAAATATTTCTTGAAAAATAATCATTCTTTACCATACTACAGCCTTAAAAAACCATTACTTTTACATAATTTTTTGTGATTTGGTACTTATTCTGAGCTATTATCCTCTTAGCTATTGTTTAAACTACATTTCTTAAGATATTTATAAATATACAAAATCAAATTTAAATATGCACTATTTTCTATTGTAAATCCATAACTCACTGTGGAAGGTTTTTATGTTAGAAAATTAATTTATACCCATTCATCTTCTTAATCATGTAAGCTGTATCCGAAGTTAGAGTAAAATAGACATGGGAAAAAAAATTCTATAATCCTACCAGATCAATACTTCTTCTAAAAGCAAGCAAACAAATTATTCCTGCACCCAATTAATTTTTCTACAATCTCAAGCTATTATTTCTTTGGAATAAGAAAGCAGTAAACTCTTTAGATGATTCCATTGATTGAATTCCTTCACTGACAAAATAATACATGAAAATTCTTTGGTGAGTTTGATAAATTTAAAGCCAGGTTTACACTTATGAGTAACTCATATAAGAACACTAAAGAAAACTTGACCCTGTAGTCAAAACTGCTTAATGTCTTAAATAATTACGCAAATTGTAGCCTGGTAAAAATCCAGCTGTATCATTTCTATAGTTTATTTTTAAACAAAATGTAGTTACAAAATAGAAAGGTTCTGTATTTTAAATAATTTCAGATTAACAAAATTTCCAACAGTACTCAAAATACAGGAAAAGACACTTAACTTCCATAAAACTTCGGCTGTAGGCCACCCTTACGTACGAGTATATGCCAAATAAAAGTATGTATGAGAATGTTGACTTGTTTGTGGATAGAGACACTCGCATATAGCCAAGATTTTAAGGTAAAACCCTAGGATAAAACCAATCGGAAAGGAATGGCATCCCTTTTGAAGAATGTGGCCTTACAATAAATTTTTTAACTTCATAACCTTGTATAGGGCACAGCCCATAGACAATGTTTCAGGGTAAATGCTATTTAACTGCCCAAATCATCAAAGCAAGCAAATATGTTATTTTCAGGTGACATACTCAAACTACCATTCTTCAAGAAACTTATCTAATATTCTGCTAGCTGAACTAATATAATTTAACAATTTCTATAATCTATACTGTATATATAAAATTGCTTGTCCTGACTGACTCATTCACTCACTGATTCATCATCGCCCAGAGCAAACCGCTGAACCTAAAGTGGTGAAATTTGGTACACAGTTAGGGTACATCATGAAAACGCACACTAAGAAGGGATTTTTCAAAATTCCCCAGCGGGGGGAGAGGGAGAGCATTAAGGCTTAACAGGAAGAATGGCTTCTACTGTACTATTTCACATGCAATTTTTTGTTACGATTAGTCTTCATTAAGTACTTAGGTGTATTAAATTATAACATTTCAGACATTGTTATAAAATATTTTTATATACTTCGATTTTTTAACCAAATGTTCGAACCTTTTTAAATTCGAATTTGTTATTGCGTATCGGTTCGATTATAGAACGATTGTAAACGTTCCAGAAAACTGATCAAATTGAAAATTGTTTGTTTGATTCTCGGCAATTCTCATCACTCTCGGCGGTAGGTGTTATATAACAATTACTATGGTTGTTGAAATACTGAATATAAATGGGGTTTGCTTGCAAAACCTCCGCGGGCGAAGTCGCGGGTAACAGCTAGTTTTTGATAATTCTAATAAGTAAACAATGGCTCACAAATTGTGTAAATAATAATAATTTGGCATAATCAAAAGACAAAAGTCAATGGCCACTTTCAAGTGGCAACTGTTTTTTCAGATACAGTGTACAAAAATGCATACAAAACTTCCAATTAATGGTAATTTTTTTATGTTTCCGTGGCTGCTGTTCAGAGATTTCGCTGTATATGAAAATACAACTGATATAATCTTACTTCTTTGATTTCAATTCCAGATCACATAGATTATTAAAAGAATCAATATTGTTATATTTAGTGTAATAAAATGATTTATGTTAACCGTAATATTGTTAAATTTTAAAACTTGCAAATTAAGGAAAGTTTTCAGTTTGGTGGGTGATCTGCAAAGGGAGACAACTTTCAGAAAGGCTTTCTAAGGAAAACTGGCCCCTATTTAGGCGTTATAATCATGATGAAAGTCCAGAATACTCCATGCAGCCAGCCGATTGGCGAGACGTGAGCAACAACCAACGTTCGGTAGTCTATCCACTCAACAATTCAAATTAAGGAGAGAAAACAAACTATGTAAGGTAATTTTTCCATGGAAATTGGTGGCAGTTTTTTTTAGCTGTTACTTTTCTAGTAGAATTATTTTTTCTTGAATCACTTATGTAAATACAACTATAGTAGTATTCTCCTTTCTGGAAGAGTTTAGAAAATAGAATAATTATTATTTAGTATTAAAATTATGAAAATAAAATTTGATATATTATACTAACATACAAAGAAAAAGCATATTAATAAAAATGGTTTAAATATTCAAAATATGTATAAATCCTCAACAGTAAATTTTACATTAAAAAGAAACACTTCATTTAAAAATGTAAAAATGTATATAATTTCAAGAGATTTTTTATTTTATTTAAAATTTTATAAATAAATTTTTACAAAACTATTAAAACTTTATTAAAAATTTCAAAAAAAGTTTAAATTTTACAATTTCAGTTGTTTGCCAAGACAAATATGTTAATTCTTTCTTTCTTTCTTTTTCTATATGTTTACGATTTTTACCTTTTGGTTTCTTCTTTAGAATCACTACTCACCATCAATTATTTTCTAAGTGGAGTAAGAATACTCCAAAAAATCTGCAAAAGAAAAAAAGTACATTAAAACTTTCTATTTAAAGAAATTAATTACTTATCTTTTAAAATTTTAAGTGGAATTTTGTAATTTAACTGTGCAACATCATGTAAACCATACTTTGCCAAGATGATAAATTTCTACAAACCTGTAAGTATCAAAAATTTTAAATCTTAAACATAAATATTAGTAATTTATCGAATTATTGTGAATCTTTAATATGAAAAACATTTTCAAATTTTTGCTTTTTTTTTTTTTTTTTAAAGAAACTGCACAGAAATATGCAAATAACTTGCCTAAATTTAAAAATTACTTTTAAAAATTTAAATGCAGCTTTTTCTATGCAATCAATTTGTTTGTTCATTCATCATTTCCCTACCATCTTTCTCTAAACAAAACGACGAGGATGTTTCTGCATAGATGCTGGCAGATCTACCGAATAGGATAAACCAGACAACAGTTATGCCTGCCAACTTCAACACCAGAAGAACTGGATTTCATTCATCTTCTGAGTTAGCCTGGGAATATGCAGGAAGAAGAATTAAGTGATTCAAACTAATTAGAATTGTGGTACCATTCACTCTTTACATATTCATTCATTCACATCACCGCACACACAATCACAAATTATATAATTACTACTTAATATTTTATTCGTATTTTTACCTCGAATTGACTTATTAAATTAAATGTTAAATTTGAATTGATATTTTCACGACCTCATTTATGCATTATATTAAGTGATACAAAAATAATTGAAACAATTGCAATTTTTGTATATTTAGAGAAAAACTGTCTGCATTTAAGTTAATAAAAAATTTTTAAAATTTTTTAAAATCATTTTTCCAGTATCAAATAATAATAAATGCAAATTAAGGTCATAAATTAAATGAAGTTTTCATTCAAAATAGCAAATCATTCAATATAATAAAAACATGCAATCAAATTTAATTAAACAACACAAAATGGTACAATCAAATGTTGATAGAAAGCATTTATTTAGAACCAGAATAAACTTAAAAACAATTATTTTTTTCAAATTCAAATTGATTATTAGAATTTTATAAACAAAAAGATTTAATTTTTTACTTTTTGCTCATAATTAATTGATCTGTTTCGTTATTGTATTAAAGATAAATTTCTCCAAATATCTTTGAAATTTTTTTTTATATGTGGGAAAAGCATGATACTAAACTTATAACACTTCTCCCAGATTTACAAAATTGACTATATTTTCAAAATTAATGTGAAATAAAAGAGAAGCAATTACCACATATTGTTACTGCTTTCGCTTGAGCGATGTTTATTCAGTACCTCGTCAGGCCTCTAACACCTACATGGGTAACAAAAAAGCATAAGTAATCAGACAATAATTACATGTGACATCAGATGTAAATTGTACAATGTCTCTACTGATCTTCAAATACACAATAATGATGATTGTTCTCTAAATAGACAATTTCACAATATTTTTAAGATCAGTCGCCGGGTAAGCAACCGCTAACAAACTTAAAAGGAAAAATTACCCATTACTTTTTCTGTGTTGTACTTATCTCCCATATTCACAAATATAAATACTTTTGAATGAAAAAAAGAACCGATACATAATTTCTCTATGGATGGATGCTTAATACTAAAAATCTATTCGCTTGCATAAAATCCATTCACTGTCATTAATTGATAAGATTCACAAATATTAACATTGTTTGGTAAGGGACGAAAGATGACATCTATGATGATGACAATGATGCATTCTAAACAAATGAATGGCATTAAAATGACTCTCGACAGTTCTCGGTACATTAATGTCTATCTCTTGTACAGATGAGGAGTTTTGTACAAATTATCTTAAACATTCAAAACTTTTATGATTCTACAATTTATCAGGACATTTATATATAAACTTTGACGTCGTGAAATCGAAACACATTAAATTGGCATTATATTATATAATGCTAAGGGCTGAATATATATAACATATAAATATATAAATGTATGCATGTATTTAAACATGCAATTTGTATATACGCACAGCTTTGAAAATCATCTCTTCAAAATACACACATGATCTTCATGCATAATTATTAGGGACTATTACACAAAAAGTCCTTGGTATTTGATGGATAGGTGATTTATTCTTCAAATCAGTTCTTCAGATGTTGTTAACATGCAATGCACCTATAAGAAATACAAAATTGTGATTTATAATGTAATACGAGCAATGTGAAAAATATCACTGACCTCAAAATTTTAAAATTATATAACTATTAAAGAAAATTGATAAAAGAACAGAGAGAGTGAGAGAACAATTAATAGATTCAACAAGAATGCATATTGAAATTACAAGGGTTAATTAAAAACTATAGTCATGTTAAATAAACTAATAGTACCATGTGATAGACAGCATATTTATTGCTTAAAGCAAAATATTAATTTATTGAATAGTAATTACTAACATAGGCATTAATGAATATCCTATTCTTTTCTGTAATGAATTAACTGATGTATTAAATAATAAATGAATCTAACCCATTAATTATTTCAGATACCAAACAAATAGCCAGATTCTTTTAATAAGGCTAAATAATTACTAAGCAGCTTGGCCAATTGCTGTCAAACTGCTTAGTAATTATTTAGCCTCATAGCACTATAAAGAATTCAGCTGTTTGTTTGATGTTTGATGTATTACATATTTACATTTGATTAGCAACATCTATAAAGTTTGCTATCAATTAAAGCATGATATTAAAAAAATATTCAAACTATTTATATATCAATTATTTCACTTTTTTTATAAGTCGAAGATTACTTTTGATCTATTAATATGCATAACGGATCAATACCGTTTCAATTTATTACTGAATATATCAATCCTTACTGTAAGAATTAACAATAATTTTTAAATTTACTGTAAATTTTTATCAATTGTTTTTTTTTAACTTTGTATTGAATTTTTTTTTACTTTTGAGTATCTTGTTTATTATATAAATGACTGTAAAGAAAAGAAAAACTTAATTAAAATACACAAAATTCTATTTCATTATCATCATTACATTAAATAAACCATACTACTATGAACCAAGTGCATTTTTTAATATTTAGTACATAAATACAAAATCCAGTAATTTGACACCCACCAGTAAGGTATATGTCAGATTACAGAGACGCTATTTTAATATCAGTCATACAATATTGCACATTTGTATAAAATAATATAAAATTTGAAGATATTTAACATGCATTAATAATTTTCAAAATAAAAATATCTAACAAAACAATACAAAAATTAGTATATTTTAAATTAAATTTTTTTTATCATTTTAGGATACTTTTTCTTTATTGCATATATGTTTGATGGCAATGATTATTATGTTTATTGTGTCATTCTCTGAAATACTACAGAATGAAACTTGCTTAACAATTGTGAAAGTGATTTTGTACTTTTCATTAATACAGGAATGATGGTAAATGAAAGTCATCATTTATTGTCATTCTTCCAGTAAATGAAAAATTCCTATTCAATAATGAGAAAAAAATGGTGAAAACAAATAATAATGCAAGCATTAAAAGCAAACTAAACATGAAATTATTAAGGACTTTCATATAATAGCTTTTTTAAATATTAATAAAAAGAACTGAAGAAAATCAAGATGAAATCTATCCTCAAAAGTATCAATGTTACTATATGAAAACAGCAACTTATAAGATTATTTACATAATAATGCCATAGCATGAACAAGACAGCACAGAGAATAAAGCAATGTTCTATAATAAATACATTACAAAATAAATGTAATACATGTACAAAAAAAAAGGAAAAACTAATCAAGAGATAAATTACTTGGATGTTACAATTACAGGAAAGAAAAATGAATTAGAATTTAAAACTTTTAAAAAATCTTGTTCAATACAAACAACCGTGAAATACAATTCAAATATACCATTATATATAAAACAGAATATATTCCCTATGGAATATAATAAAATTAAAAATAGAACTAGTAGAAGTATTAACATACTACCTGTCACCCGCGACTTCGTCAGCGGAGGTTTTGCAAGCAAACCCCATTTACATGTAATATTTCAATAACCATAGTAATTGTTATATAACACCTACCGCTGAAGAGAACTGCCGAGAATCAAATGAACTATTTTCAATTTGATCAATTTTCTGAAACATTTACAATCGTTCTATAATCGAACCAATATGCAATAACAAATTTGAATTTAAAACGGTTCGAACATTTTTAAAATCAAAATAGATAAAAATATTTATAACAATGTCTGAAATAAAATAAAATAAAAAACTCTTCAAACCTTTAACCGAAGTGCTTCTATTTTTAGAATTGCAAATGTTTTCGTCGCCCCTCCTGGGCACTTCCTCAGGCTATAACAAATGGGCCTTTAATATTCAAATAAACATTCGATCTAATGTTTATGATCGAAATGTTTATTTGAATATTAAAGGCCCATTCATTATAGCCTGAAGAAGTGCCCAGGAGGGGCGATGAAAACGTTCACAATTCTAAAAATAGAAGCACTCCGGTTAAAGGTTTGAAGAGTTTTTTATTTTATTTTATTTAAACACTGGTGTGTAGAGAGATTGTATAATGTCTGAAATGTTATCAATTTAATATACCTAAGTACTCAATAAAGACTAAACGTAGTTTAAAACAAAAAATCGCATCTAAAATAGTACAGTAGAAGCCGTTTTTCCAGTTAAGCCTTAATCCTCTCCCTCTCCCCCCTTGGGGGAATTCTGAAAAATCCCTTCTTAGTGTGCGTTTTCATGACGTACCCTAACTGTGTACCAAATTTCACCTCTTTAGGTTCAGCGGTTTGCTCTGGGCGATGATGAATCAGTGAGTCAGTCAGGACAAGCAATTTCATATATATAGATATAATAATATTAAAGACTTGAAGAAGAAATTCCTGTTAGACAGATATCCTAATAGATTATTTAAAATTTGGGAAGATAAAATAAATAATGAACAGAATTCTGGCATGAATAGAACAGACAATGAAAGAACTTCTAGAAAAAATAAAGAGCAAGCCAAAATAAAATATATTCCATTCCTTATATTAGGGGTTTATATGAAGAAATTAATAAGGAGATAAAAAACACCAACATAAATCTTGCTCCAAAGTATAAAAAATGTTTAGCTAGATTAAATACTAAGAAATCTACATCAAAAGGAAAACAACAGGTACATAAGATAAAAAAACATTGTATATCAAATCCCATGTACATGTGAAAATACAAAATTCTATATAGGAGAAACAAAGAGAAAGATGAAAATTAGATTAAAACATGTAGCAGATTTAAAACATCACAGAATTAATTCAGCTTTTCTTGAACACTGTACACTAAATAATTGCAATATTGATTAGAATAATGTTAAAATCCTACATAAAGAAAAAGAAACTTATAATAGAAAATTCAAAGAAAGTATAGGAATTTTAAAAAATAAACACTGTATAAATAAAAACTTAAGTTTAAAAATCAATGAGAACTGTTTAAAAATACTGTAAAAAATTCTTTAGAGAGAATTCACTGGAAAGCAGCTTT